GTGACCTTCTCAGGCCATCAGGACACGGGTTTGGGGCTCTGATCCCCGTCCCTGAGGTGCAGCAGCACGTTGCCAGCCCGGCGTGGGGGTGTGGGCTCTGCCTGCCATCCCTGCCTGCTCCCCGGAACACCTGAACAGTCCCTGTCCATCAGCCCGTGCCGGATTTCACACAAACCACCGTTCCTCAAAGGTCAAGCCGAGGTTTCTTGCGGAGAAGCACAAATTCCAGAATAGAAACCTCTGCAAAGGCTCCAGCTGAGGAGTTTTCTCCATGGCAGCGCCCAGAGGAGCTGACTCACGGCAAACCTGAGAGAGGGAGGGAGGTTGTTTTACACCCCGGGCTGCTCCCAGAAGGAGAGATGTTGTTTTACACCCCGGGCTGCTCCCGGGGGGTGCCGCAGGTTAATGAGCAGTTAATTGTGTGAGAGTCAGGTAATGGGCCTTGAACGTAAATACTTCCATCGCTGATGCTCTCGGGAGCAGAAACGACCTCCTGGAATTCCAGAGTGGTTTGGGTGAAAGGGACCTTAAATATTATCCAGTTCCAACCCCCTGCCACGGGCAAGGACACCTTCCACTTGTCCCAGGTGCCTCCAAGTTCATCCAACCTGGCCTTGGACACTTTCAGGGATGGAGGAGCAGCCACATTTTCTCTGGTGGGCAACCTGTGCCAGGCCCTTCCAGCCCAAAATGCCTTCCCAATATCCCACCCTGGTAATTTAAAGGCGTTATTTGTGTGGGTTACTTTGTTCTCTAGAAGAAGGTCGGCAGAGATCACCCCAAACGGGGAGGAAGAGCCGGCTCGGGTGGGAGGAGGAGGGGGGGGCTCAGCCTCCTGCTGGGCTCCCCGCAGGATGAATTCCCCCGGGAAAATCCCGGTGGGATTCGGCTCCTTTCTTTCCCCCCCACCTCAGGAGGGTGTTTGTGTGTCTTCTCTCGGCCTGCCGGGAGGAGAGGGGGGCGGTGAATTGAATGTTTTTGCTTTCCCCCCTCTCTGCACAGAGCTCTTGTCGAGTCAAATGAGGGACCTGCACAAGTCAAACGTGCTGGGGAGCAAACACGGCAGCCTGGTGAGTGTCTTAATAAGGCCGGGACAGACAGCAGGGCGAGCCAGAGTGGTTCCTCTCGGTGCCAAGGGACTCAGAGCAGGGGCAAGCCCTGCTCTCAGAGTCCCTTGGCACCGAGAGAAACCACTTTTAATTCCCGCCGCTCAGGCTCGGTCCGTAGGATGAAGCCCCGGCCCCGCGGCAAGGCTGGGTCCGGGCTTTAAACCCGGTTTAGGGGAGCCCCGCGTGTGCCGCGCTCTTGGCATGGGAATGAAGGACCTGATGGGCCCAAAGGTTCGATCTTCGGGAGCGCCTCGTTAGCGTGAAAGCCATTAATGGGAACAAAAGGCGTTTTCAAGGTTGAATTGAGAAGCATCAGAGCATTAGAGGGGCCGGGGAGATTAAAATCGGCGTTTGTTTGGCTCTAATCTAACGTGCATGGAACAATAAGCATTTGATGACTAATTTTTGGCAGC